TCTCTCTCTCTCTCTCTCTCTCGATTCGCCCCTCGCGTGCAAGCTCGCACGGATTCGGGATTGTACAACGCCAAACACGTATCGGACACACACTTTTTACGGGGAGCAGAGGAAACGAGACATATAATAACTGAGAAGGGGAGGGGAGGGGGAGAATTGGATCTCTTCGTCTTCGAACGAGAGTAAAGAAATAAAGGAGAAAGAACCGGCACTTTTTTTTTACGAAAGAGAGACTTACACGCGTGACAATAACTTGTGCGTTGATAATGGAACGAAGAAGGAGAAGAAGGAGAAGGAGAAGAAGAAGAAGAAGAAGAAGAAGAAGAGAGAAAAATTGAATAAAAAAGTAGGAAGGAATAATAACGCGAAATGTTGAAACCGGTGGTAGTTTCGAGCGGGCGTTGGTACGTTCAGCGTAGACTCGAACGTCGACGACGGTGGTCTCTCGTCGTCGTTCCCCATCGGGTCGTTATCGCCGTGACCACTGTTATACCGAACGCGATAGTCGATCGTTCCGCGGGGCAGTGCCGTATCTGACTGACGTACTCGCGACTCGACACGAATATTACACACTTTGCTGTGCACTCTCCAGAAGAAAAACCATCCAGAGAAGACGAGACAGAGAGACAGAGAGAGAGAGAGAGAGAGAGAGAGAGAGTGGTTGGATCCTTCTTCTTCTCACTTACCACCACCGGCAGGTCCTCTCGCTGGAAATCCAGGAAGCTGAGAGTAAGCTCGACTCTCTCTCGATGATTATCGTGGGAAATTCACGCAATTGTCGTGGATTTGGACGAATTTTCACTCTGGTGGCGTCGATGGTGGACGAAACGAACGAAACGGCTATCCGTTACGCGACACCGCCGCGTCCTTTCCACTCGGAAATACCGACCTCCTCCTATCGTGCCGATCGGATTTCATAGCGCTTCGCTCGCGGTGCTCGTTCCTCTCTCTCTCTCTCTCTCTCTCTCTCTCCTCTCTCTCTCACTCACTCTCTCTCTCTCTCTTCCTCCCCCTTTCCCTCTTTGTTTCTTTTCACAGCTTTGCTCTTTCCCTTGGAACGCAACGTCACCCTCCTCAACGTCGCCGTCGCCGTCGTTGTTGTCGTGGTCTTGGATCTTGGACCGAGAACGAGGAGCACCAAGTAAACGACAGAGAAAGAGAGAGAGAGAAAAGAAGAAAATCTCGTGGAAATCACTCGCGAGAAACGGGTCTCTCGTTCCACAAAGTTCGCAAAGAGGCGATTTCTCCTTGGAGGCTACTCGATGAACACGAACCACCAATGGGAATCACCATTGATGAAAAAAGCGAGTAGTGGAAAGTCAGACTTTTGGGAAAAGCAGAGAGAGAGAGAGAGAGAGAGAGAGATAGAGGGAGAGGGAGAGAGAGAGTGAGTGGGTGGATGAGTGTAAAAACCGAAAGGGATGAGGGGAGGAATAAGTAGCAACGGCGGCGGTGGCGGGGTGCATGCAGCAGATACGGAGACAAACTACCGGTAACGACGAGCAGACTGCGCGACGACGCTAATCGCGTCGTTCGGTCTCTGCTCGCATCGAGAAGGATGGTCGTCGTCGGATCGCGAGAGGCTTGTGCCGTTGACGTTGAGATGGCCGCGATCGCACGATGTCTTTTCCACCAGTTGGAAACGCGCGTCCACGACGACGACGACGACGACGACGACGGCGACGACGACGACGAGGACGAGGAGGAGGAGATCGCGTGCCGAAGAGGTAACAAACGAGCAGACACGTTACCCTTCGACAGTGTCGAAACGACGACTGACGGGAAGGTTTGTCGCTCGTTGCCGACTCTCGCCGGTAGCCTCGTGCACCGAGAGACGAACAAAGATCCGAAGAGTGCCGAACGATTCCGCGAACGCGGCCGAACACCACCAGTCAGCTGGTTTCCCGGTGGTCGCGGCAGACTGCATCGGACGT